GGGGACCTGGGGGGGGGAGTGGGTGCTGCCTGGGCGTGGGGGGAGCCTACCGGGAAGAGGGGCGACGGACCCTGCCACGAGGGCGCCCTGTGGGATGCTGCCTGGGGTGGGGCCCCTGAGAGGACCGTGGCCCTTGTGGATGGCGCCCAGGCAGGTTTTGGGGTCTTGAAAAGCGCAGATGGAGAAACGCTAGCCTCTTGCGTCGCATCAGTCCTCAGAATAGAACGCTAACGGTGGGAACGTCGACCCCTAGTCTGTTTTTAGGGCACACATAATTTATAAAGTTTTGGGAAACTGTAATCCAGTGAGGGACCTGTGGAAATTTTTGTTTTGCTGCTCTTTTAATGTTAAAGTCAATTCCTCAAAGTGGTTTGGTTTTGTTTTTGAGTTGGAGTCGCATTGCCACCCAGCTGGGGTGCAGGGGCATGGTCACTGCTCACCACAGCCTTGACCTTCTGGGCTCAGGTGATCCTTCCGCCTCAGCCTCCCAAGTAGCTGGGACTGCAGGTGTGCACCGCCACACCCAGCTAACTTTTTTTCTTTTTCTTTTTGTAGAGATGAGGTCTAGCTATGTTGCCCTCAAACTCCCGGGCTCCAGCGATCCTCCCACCTTTGCCTCCCAAAGGCGCAGGATTACAGGCTGAGCCACCGAGCCCTGCTGGCTGGGAGTTCTAGACTACAGCAAGCTATGGTCACCCCACTGCATTTCAGCCTGGGCCACAAAGCCAGAATCTTGTCTTTTTTTATTTTTTAAGGGAGGGACCTGGCTCCATATTACTCTTTAGTGATAGCTGCCTACACATATGCACGATGGCCAACTTTTTGGGGAGGAGGCGTTATGTGTTATTTTTTATTTTATTTTATTTTTACTTTTTGAGGCAGAGTCTCACTCCATCACCCAGGCTGGAGTGCAGTGGCATGTTCACAGCCACCATGGCCTCGACCTGCTGGGCTCAGGTGATCCTTCCGCCTTAGCCTTCCAAGTAGCTGGAACCACGTGCATGTGTCACCACACCCAGCTCATTTTTTTTTGTTTGTTTGTTTTTGTAGAGACGAGGTCTCTACAAAAAAGTTGCCCAGGCTGGTCTTGAACCCCTGAGCTCAGGCAGTCCTCTCGCCTCTACCTCCCAGAGTGCTGGGATTGCAGGCTTGAGCCACCATGCCTGACTGTGCACCTTTTTTAAAGGCAACTTAAATCAGCATCTGAGTCCCAGTTTTTTTTCTTGCACAAAATGGAACCTGAACCAGATTATCTGAGCAAACAAGTTGTGCAACCACCCAGGGCCAGGTAGGGGTTCTGTGGACTTCTTCCAGAGCGTTGGAGGATCTCCAGGTGACATTGCTGCAGGCTTCCACCTTGCTGAGCTCTTGGGAAATGGACAGCAGAGGGAACAGCTGGGGGTGGGGAGTAATCACCAGCCACCACGGGTCCTTCTCCTCTGGGATGGGAACCCAGGGAGGAGGCCTTGGTGCTGAGGCCCTGGTGACCTGCTTTGGAGTTTGAACTGTGGGAAGCCCTCAAAGACATTCCCTGCAGTTTCTTTTTATTATTATTATTTATTGTAGAGATGAGGTCTCGCCAAGTTGCCCAGGTTGGTCTCGAACCCGTAGGCTCAGGCAGTCCTCTCATCTCGGCCTCCCAAAGTGCTGGGGTTATAGGCATGAGCCACCGTGCCCGGCCCCTGCAGTTTCTTAACCACTGTCGCACGCACACAGATACTGTTAATCATGTTTAAAGCTCCAACTGATCCGTTAATGCATCCCTTATACAGGACTGAATATCTAAAGGTCTTTAGCAAGAGAAATTACAGTGTTCCTCACCCTCCTTCCCCTCATGTAATTTGAAATAAAATACCATACTAAACCATCAAATAAGTATTTGGAAGTCCAATATAAGTCTGTTTTTTTGTTCTTCCTTGTGTTGACATCTTCAGTGTTTTAAACAATCAAATTATTACTGTGGCAGGATGCGGCAAATGCTCAAATATATTTCTTGTATAATTGCGTGAATAAACACAGAAACACATGTGGCTGATTCAGGATCAGCAGTTGGCCTCACCTGGGCTGCCACAAGCCCAGCGGCAAGAAGGAAAGGTTGATAGCAGTTAAAGGTATTTCCCTTTGAAAGGCAAGTTGCAGCTTTAAAGGCCCGCCGGTGCCAGGCAGGTTTTGTTTGGGAAAGGCCAAATAGCCCAAAGA